GCGAATAATCTTTATGGTAGAGACACACAAAAAATTTGGTCAAAATTTAACATTCGGCTTTGGCCATTCGAACAGGCCGAATATTACAACTTTCGTTTGTTTCAGTCATCACTTTTTCGCTTTTGAAAAAATAATTTTCTAACGATGATTTAAAAGCTGTTAGAAAAACTTTTTATAAAATTTTCACAAGAGCTTTCATTTTTATTGTAATGGAGATTTTCAGTTTGAATCAAGTATTTTTTTTCTTTTTTAGGCTTTTTATATAGTAAGATTTCAGTTGTTCAGAAACGATAAAGACATCGAGTTACTTGCAATATTCAAAAGAATGATTGGCCATATGCATCATTCTTCTTGATCAAAAGAGAAGCTTACAGAATTTTAAAAGAAATTAGAACTTCCATGTCATACATTCGTTCGAGATGTATAAAAAAATGAACAGTAGCTAGGACACGCTACAAAGGTTGTTGAAGCAAAGAAAAGCCTTGTTCCTTTTTTGCCAATGCCAATGTTAGCATTCCAATGTTAATCAACTGATGAAAATTGGTTACAGGTAGAAAAAATAGTGCAGTTATTAGAACCAACTGAAGAGCTGACAAAACAAATTGGTAACGAGAATGTTTCATCATTCCAGCAGTAAAGATACTTTTTCCCCTTTATTCAAGAGATGAAAATGACAAAAATCAAAAAATAGAATGAAATCAGAAATAGAAAAAAATTTGGAGTCAACGAAAAAAATTTGGAGTCAATGAAAAAAATTACTTTCTACTTTTCTGGATCCTAGATTTATAAACAAGTATTTTTCGTTTAAAGAAACAATGCATCAAATTCATGCAGAAATAATGAAAATTAAAAGATTAAGAAGTAACGGCGATGATGACGATCTCTCCAAAAATTGAAGCGAATTCATCCTCTTCAAGCGCTACCGAAACTAGCATATGGAATTGTTCCCAGGAAATGACATGCAACTAACCCACTAGCCATTGAACAAGAGATTGAATTTTATTTCAGTAAAGAATTTTTAAATAGGAAAGAATCACCTTCTGCTTGTTAGAGAACCCATCAAAACCAATATCCAACATTGGCTAGTATATCAGCCGAAAGTTATCAAAGTACAGTGATAGTAAAAGTAATTTGGCAGCAGACAATGGAGACAAATTATAATTTCTTCATTAAAATTGACAGCAAATATTTAACTTATAAGTTTATTTTCAATTAATTTTTATGCATATTTTTCTAAAATAACTTTTTCAAACAATTTCCAGATAAGAAGAGTTGAAAAAACAACATGTTTTTCATTCTAAATTTTTTTTTAACTTTGGAGTTTTGTATTCAGCCTTTGGCTTCACCCTAATAGTGATTTAACTATTCAGCCGTTCAAATTCACTATTCAGTGCATCTCTACCCTATAGAATCAAAAATAGATAAGCAGCAACCATATAAACAAATCTCCTATTGAAACGTTGCCAGATTGCCATGCCAATTATTCTCCAAACACACCGACACCCATGTTAATATGACATGGCAGAGCTACTAGTTTCAACGTCAATAATCAATCAATTTTCGTTTTGCGTCCAGAGACCCGGTTCCCCGAGGTAGGACATTGTTTTCTTTGCCATCAACTTTTTGCGCCAAATTAGACAATCAGTTGTATCCATTTCATTTAAATTTAGAGCTTTCATGTCTTGCTCGATTGTTTGCGACCAGGACTTCTTTGGACGACCTTTGGGACGTGTGCCAGGTACTTCAACATCTGCAAGAGAAGTTATGGCACTGTTTCCACTTCGTTTGACATGACCAAACCACCGCAGACGGTGTTGCCGGCATTCGTCCTTTATATCATCTAAACCAGCACGACGCAGGATTTCGGTAGATTTGATGTGGTCCTTCAGACTAATTCGTTGCATCCATCGGAGCATTTTCATGTCGGTTCGTTGAAGTTGTTGTTCCAGTTTGGTTGTCATTGGCCAAAAAATACGTCACGCACGTTTCAACGTCAATAGTATATTTTTAACATTGAAAAAAATAAAGCCGTTCCAAAAAACAGTTAACATGCATAACGTTTGAATACTTAAGCTTTGCTTTTTATTTGAAAAAAATTTTTTTTCATTATATTTTTGTCGTACGTATTTCGGTTTCATCATAGGTAGCCTAACGGCAACCCCCGATCTCGGAGAAAATGTCGTCTAAACGTGTGTTGTTGTTTTGTTGTTGTCGTACGCCAAACAAAATTTCTGAAAATCCCTTCAAATCAAAATCACTTTCGACGGAAACATTAATTTGAAGACCGATCTGTAATTATTTATAATAAACGCGTCTTATCTTGACTTCTCCAACCACAGCATGCTTGAAACATTGACAATGCACCTCATGCACAGATACACTCATCGGTTATAAATGGCAATGTAACATACACGTCATCCACCCTCTACTACCACCAATCAAAACTACAATACAAAACCTTCGCCACGCAGACTATCAGGTTGTCACTCAATCAACTTATCAGGATAAAACCTTCATCACAAGACACTATGAATATATTAACACTCAATAAATATTTCTCATTTGTTCTACTATGTCTATTCTTCCTTAACGTACAAGTAACTTACTGACTAAGTCATTAACTAGTCAATAGTTACTTAATCTATTTGTTTTCTTTTAAATCATTATTTTATTTTCCATGCTTATTATGCTTAAACTTTCTTACCCAGTTATTTATTTTCCGTTACCATTTTATACTATTGTCTTGCATGTGGTAACGGTTTCTGCATCTGTCAGATTCTGATTTTTTAAAGAATAAAAAAATGTATGTATGAACATGATCTCTACAATAGGTTGAACATGATAACCACAGTAGATTGTTGAGGGTAAACTCATTAAAATTTATAAGCCTTTTCTTATGTGCAAGGTTTAAAGTTATTTAATATTTCAACCGAAAACTTCTCAATTTTCGGAAGAACATATTGTTCAGATGCAACCATGATTCTATTAATTTACATTTAAAAAAATTCAAAACAGCCGCTAATTGCAAGTTTTTTCTTATTTGGATTCTGACGACATTACATGATGCTAATGCTGAAAGTAATTGTTTTTGCTTTAAACTACCAGATTTTGTCAATTTATTCATTCATTTCATTCAATGATCTTCTGTAATCCCTTAAGGGACCGTTGAGGCCGATGGTATTCTTCTATCCAAAATCCTTTTCTTTCCCTCGCCATCTTCATTGAGCCCAATGTTCCAACCCCCGTTCATTCCGTGATATCATCCATCCACTTCCTCACAGGTCTTCAAACTTTTTTCTTCCAGTCCCTCTTTCTCATCAGTACTTTTTTAATCAGTCTGTCGTCTGTCATTCTGCAGATGTGCCCAAAGATACCCAGCTTTCTTTCCTTGACACTTTCATACACAGTTTTTTGTCTTCCAAGTTGTTTTCTTATGGCATCGTTTCTTATCTTTTGTCTCCAACTGATTCCCAGCAACTTTCTATAACAATGCATCTCGAATGCTTCCAGTTTGTCTTTGTCTCTTTTCTTCAACGTCCAAGCCTCACATGCATACATCAATGTAGAAAACACACACGCTTCTACGATCTTTAATTTTGTTTTTGTAGATCCATTACCGTTTTTCAATATTACTTTCAAAGATGCAAACATTCCTCTCGCGATTGCTATTCTTCTATCAATTTCTTTCGAACAATTATTGTCATCAGTTATGAGGCTGCCCAGATATATAAATTGGTTCACTTGTTCGAGCTTTTCTGCTCCTATCTGGAATTCATCATTGATTCCACCTGCTTCCGAAATCATTATCTTTGTCTTACTGCTGTTGATGTGTAGTCTATGGTTTCTTCCACCATCGTACGTCAACTCGATCAGTTTCTGTAGACCCTCTGCACTAGATGCTAGCAGATCTATATCATCTGCAAACCTTAGGTCCCTTATCACTCTGCTTCCAATGTCGATTCCTTTAATATCTGCATTCTCCATTT